GTCTAGAAGGGTGTGTTGGTTAGAGATAAGATTTTCTGTGATGTCCTGATTTCGCTTATTCCTAAGCCAAACTGCCGCCTGCTGATCACCTCACAACACCTCTGCACACGTACGCAGCCTCAGAAGATCGGCGAGGGCGCACATTTTATGTTTCAAATGGCCCAAATAGAAAATTTTTGTGCTACATAAGCAGCCGTCTACCAGGGGAGAAAAACAATACCTACACTAGCTGCTATGGGGCTGATTTAATTACATCAAATCCTTTTTGTTGAAAAATCATAAATAAAAGAACAAGCTCATCATCTTGGGTTTACTAACTCTGCTTAATTATTCACCCAGCATTAATTAGGCAATCAGCTGGCAATGTATTTAGCCCACCAGAGCCCATAAAATATGAATAGACAGCACTTGTCTGTGTGTTGTGCTCACATGTCGACACTGGCTCTGTGTTGTAGTAGCACAGTTTGTCAAAGCAGAGACGGAAAAAAGGTGTGAATGTTGTCGCTGCACACCACCTGTCTCTGTTTATAAAATAGCTTTTTGTGTTAAAGCAATTAGAAACATTTAAACTGGAGGAATGTGATTTACACCAGCAGCACTGTCAGTGAGGAATACTCTCTCAGGTGTTTGGTGTTAACAGCCTGTGGGTTTCAGTGGTGGATCTTTCTATAGGCGACATAGGCAGCTGCCGAGAATGCTACCCATAGAGGGGGTGTGCTGTAATTGCCAAAATATGTATTTTTTTATTATTATAAAAAAAAAAAAAATCAAACATAAGGGAAATGGTGGTGTGGAATGTAGATGGAGAGCATTTGCCTCCTGAGACCCTGTGTCCTCGTTTGAGGATGTCACATTCTGGGTTTCATGCTGCCGAACTCAGACCTGTTGTCCTCGTTCGTGGACACATTTTGTCCCATCTCGTGGTAGTGAGACCACACTACACTAATCTATGTAAATACAAGATGGCAGCCGTCTCTGCCAAGTCAGTCTGCAACTGGTCCCGACACAACAGAGGACAAGATCCAAAACCTGATCACATTTTATGGTTAAAACCTTTATATTTATGATAAATAGCATTTGTAGTTTGATATGGAAACACATGAGACAAATTTATCAACAGGAACAACATAAGACGCTGTTAATTCGGAAGTACTTGTCTGAGAACATTGGGACTTTCTTATGGACAGACTGTATCCACAGACAAAAGGACAGACCTTGCTCAGGGTATGAAACAAAGAATATTGATGCAGAGTTTCTGAAAGAACAAATCACAGACTTTTAGATTGTTTCATTATTTGTTATAGTCTTACACAACAACAGTTTGATTCTTTATTACACACTCTACTAAAAATAGTCCCCAAAGTCCTCATATGAGGACACCTTTTTTTCTTCAAAACTACTTCCTGTTCAAGACAGTGTTTAGTTTTTTATATCTATCAGGTCTGACTGATCCCAAACAGCTTGGAGACATTAGAAATGTGTACTAGGAAGAAGCTGAGGTCTCAGGAGGTTAGAGTAAAGGCCCTGACACATCAAGCTGACAGTTGGCCGTCGTTCAATGTTGGGGCTGTCGGTGAGCGTCTGTTGTTCTGCACTGTTGGCCTTCATTGGCGCTGGTCAGCTTTTTTACTGCCAATTTATCATGCTGAAATAGATATAAAGTTGAAATGGTTATGCTGCCTTAGAATTAGAGACGATTTGTGTGCAGTAAATCTTCTTTAATGGAATTCCATCATTGACCTCTGAAAGGAGTCATGTGTGTCACCCTGTCTTGTATCCAGATCTTTGGCCCTACAATGACGTCAAAGAGACAAACTGTCTGTGTGTGAAAGCCACCTCATATTATTAAAAAAGATGTCAGAGATAGCATGTAGTCAAGGATGTACCCACCACTGAGTACACTGCAGCGTCCTCTTTGGTTATTGTTTCTAGGAACCCGAGGATTTTAACAATCTTTGAAGGCATTTACATTCTACAACTGCAGACAAATTACATCTTGTGTGCTGATATTCCTTCGAGTGGATATCTTTAAATGCGACTGTAGTGAGCAAATAATTATGTTGAAGTAAAGTACATTATGGGCAAATCCCTCTCAAGGAAATAATTCTGTTGTTTCTCCACTAGGATTATATTAATGGCAGTGTGGAGACAATTCAGACCATGATGCAGACACATAATTTACAGAAAGAATTAATTCACAGTTTAATGAATAAATATAGTGCTTTTTTCCTGTGTGCAGATGAACACTTTTAGGACAAGTGGGGCTGTACCAGAATAATCTGGACCAGTGTTTCTAAACATGGGTGGATCATGAGACAGTGGGCCCCTGGGCTCAGATATGCAAAGGCCCTCACCACCTCTCCTACGTAGGAGCAGGCCGCACAATCTTTGTGGTGGTTTTGTGTCTCTGTGATCAGTTTGTGTCTCCTTGTGGTTGTTTGGGGTCTCCTTCTTGTTGTGTGTCTGTTTGTAGTCACTGTGTGTCCCTCTGTGGTCATTATGTGTCTCTTTGTAGTCATGTTGTGTCTCCATGTGGTTGTTTTGTGTCCCTTTGTTGTCATTATGTGTCTCCTTGTTGTTGTTTTGTGTCTCTTTGTGGTTGTTTTGGATCTCCTTGTTTGTCTCTTTGTAGTCATTTTGTGTCTCTTTGTAGTCATCGTGTGTCTCTTTGTGGTTGTTTTGAATCTCTTTGTAGTCATTTTGGGTCCCTTTGCTGTCTTTTTGTGTCTCTTTGTAGGCATGTTGTGTCTCCTTGTGGTTGTTTTGTGTCCCTTTGTTGTTATTGTTCATCTCCTTGTGGTTGTTTTGTGTCTCCTTGTGGTTGTTTTCTATCATTTTGTGTCTCCTTGTGGTTGTTTTCTATCGTTTTATAATAATTTGTGTCTCCTTGTAATTATTTTGTGTCTCCTTGTGGTTGTTTTGGGTCTCTTTGTGGTTGTTTTGGGTCTCCTTCTTGTTGTTTGTCTCCTTGTAGTCATTGTGCATCTCTTTGTGGTTGTTTTGAATCTCTTTGTGGTTGTTTTGAATCTCTTTGTAGTCATTTTGGGTCCCTTTGCGGTCTTTTTGTGTCTCTTTGTAGTCATGTTGTGTCTCCTTGTGGTTGTTTTGGGTCTCCATGTGGTTGTTTTCTATCGTTTTATAATAATTTGTGTCTCCTTGTAATTATTTTGTGTCTCCTTGTGGTTGTTTTGGGTTTCTTTGTGGTTGTTTTGGGTCTCCTTCTTGTTGTTTGTCTCTTTGTAGTCATTTTGTGTCTCCTTGTAGTCATTGTGCGTCTCTTTGTGGTTGTTTTGTGACTCTTTGTAGTCATTTTGGGTCCCTTTGCGGTCTTTTTGTGTCTCTTTGTAGTCATGTTATGTCTCCTTGTGGTTGTTTTGGGTCTCCATGTGGTTGTTTTGTGTCCCTTTGTTGTCATTGTATGTCTCTTTGTGGTTGTTTTGTGTCTCTTTGTGGTTGTTTTCTGTCGTTTTATAATAATTTGTGTCTCCTTGTAATCATTTTGTGTCTCCTTATGGTTGTTTTGGGTCTCTTTGTGGTTGTTTTGGGTCTCCTTCTTGTTGTGTGTCTCTTTGTGGTTGTTTTGGGTCTCCTTCTTGTAGTGTGTCTCCTTGTGGTTGTTTTGGGTCTCTTTGTGGTTGTTTTGTGTCCCTTTGTTATCATTGTATGTCTCTATGTGGTTGTTTTGTGACTCCTTGTGGTTGTTTTTGTTTAGTTTTATAATAATTTGTCTCCTTGTAATCATTTTGTGTCTCCTTGTGGTTGTTTTGGGTCTCTTTGTGGTTGTTTTGGGTCTCCTTCTTGTTGTGTGTCTCTTTGTAGTAATTGTGTGTCTCTTTGTGGTTGTTTTGAATCTCTCTGTAGTCATGTTGTGTCTCCTTGTGGTTGTTTTGTGTCCCTTTGTGGTTGTTTTGTGACTCTTTGTGGTTGTTTAGTGTCTCCTTGTAGTAATGTTGTGTATCTTTGTGGTTGTTGGGGTTGTTTTGTGTCTTTTTGTAGTCATTTTGTTTCCCTTTGTGGTAATTTTGAGTCTCTTTATGGTCAATTTGTGTCTCTTTGTAGTCACCATGTGCCTCCTTGTGGTTGTTCTGAGTCTTTATGTAGTCATTTTGTGTCTCTCTGTCGCTTTGTGTCTCTTTGTAGTCTTTATGTGTCTCCTTGTGGTTGTTTTGAGTCTCTTTGTTGTAGTTTTGTGTCTCCTTGTAGTTTTGTGTTTCTTTATCACTTTGTGTCTCTTTGTAGTCGTTTTGTGCCCCTCTGTGTTTTTTTTCCATCTCTTTGCTGTTCCTTTGCTGCTCAACATTAGGTCCCAGTAGGCTCGGACAGTAATCCAGCCAGCCATGTTCTTAAATTGCTGCAATTAGCGATTTTAAAAGAGTTGATTAATCTGGCAATTACTTTCTTGGTTATGTGATTAGTTGTTTGGTCAATAAGAAAACAGAAAATAAAGAGGAGCCTTGGATAACTATGTCAAATGTCTTGTTTTGCTCAACTAACAGTCCAAAGATATTCAGTTTACAGTCAGGTAATCTTCGAAAGCTGGAACCAGCTGATTGGCATTTCTGCTTAAAAAATTACTGGAATGATTAAACAGTTATCAAAATAGTTGGACGATTTATTTTCTGTCAGTGGACCAATTGGTTAATGGACTGATTGTGTCAGCTGGTTGGCTCTGTGCATATGTGATATAATTCACCATTAACATCTGGATAAATCACAGAGGACTTTGGCGACAACTTCTCCAGTTAAATCAGGTACTTGTTAAAGATTTATGGACATACTTCATTCATACTCCCTCTCGCTTCCGGGTGGGAACTCCACTTAATATCTATCCATTGAAGGAAACTGCGGTTTTTGAGAAGCCTTTATGGCGCCGCCGCGCCGCCATGTTGGCTCAAAGCCTATAGGCCTCAAAGGAGAACCCTGGGTAACGGCTCGGCGCCAAGATGGCGGACAGCGGAACAGTTTCATAACCCCCGTGTGGGAGGAGCCTGGTTTTCTGGAAGCTCCGCGGAGCTGAACGTCGGTCCAGGCAGGCTCACGGGCAGCAGCAGCGGCGGAGGGGAGAAAAACACACCAACCCACGGCTGGAAAGTGTTAACGGAGCCGCGGAGGAAGACACGGAGAGTGTGGGTGTTGAATCCGGACGCTGAGGACTTGAACCGTCAGTTACCCACGGACTGTGTGTGTGCGTGTGTGTGTGTGTGTGCATCCCTGAAAACACGAAAGAGTAACCCGGGGAGTGGAGATCACTGTAACCCACCTGGACCGGTGCCGTGAGCCTGATGCACACCGTCCACCGGGCATTTCCTCCTCTCTGAGCTCAGCGTTAACTCGGGGGCGGTTAACGGGCAGCAGCACACACACACCGGCGGAGTAGTTTACTATAATGTTTGTTTGACAGCCACGTATGGTTTGCTTTTTGAGATACCGGGAAGCCGTGGGAAAGGCGGGGCCGAACCGGTGGACTCCCAAACTGGATTACTGAGCTCCCCCTGTGCCGTTCACCCACAGCGACGCAGCGTTTTTTGGGGGGGGCGGGGGGTTGACGAAGGAGGCAACAACTGGAATTTAGAAACCTTTCTTGGGAACTCTTTACCGACTGCCCTGCTGCTGCTGAACCGGCCGTGTTGCGTTAGTTATTTCTGTCAAACGGTCAGCTGCCCGTGGCCTCCGCTCCCCCTCCTCCCCTCCCGCCTCGTGCAGGAGCACCATCAGGTTTTGGGACGCATATTTTTTGGGGATAATTTTTCCCCAGCCGGGGTCGGACTATGGCGGACGACGACATTCTCTTTGAAGATGTGTACGAGCTCTGCGAGGTCATTGGCAAGTAAGTGTTGCATCGCTGCTTTATTATTTCAGTGTGGTTTTACGGTAAAGCGTCGGTCACCGGGGCTTTCCAATTAGCTCCTCATAATGTCCTCAGGGTATGGCACGCGCGCGGGATGCACGCACACACTCAGACGTGCACGCACGCCTCCATAAAGCGTGGTGATATGTGTGTGTGGTCATCATAATTAAACATATAGTGACCTCTTTAACACCACATTAGGCCTGTCCCACTACAATTACACACACATGCATTCTCGCCTCTTCATGGACGTGATAACAGTTGTTGCATTCCCAGTTTTATTGCTTTATTCCAACAGGAAGATAAGCTCCTATTTCACCGTGGCAGCATTTTTATCAGGCTCCTGCACGGTGTGTGTGTGTGTGTGTGCTCAGACATACATTGCTTGTGCTTTGACCTAGTGGCAGTTGGCAACTTGCTGCAGAGATTAAAGGGCAGGGCACCAGAACCATCATGAGTCATGCACGCTGCACATCTGGTCATCGTTAGTGACTGGAGGTCTCATCCAGACTACATGGGAGTGATATTGACTGCGAGGGTAAGAGGATAGCACTGGGGATTTTGCCTGGAGGAGTCTAGGATGCAGAATAACAGCATGCATTAACCCCATCATGAAGCGAGTAGCTATACTGCAAATATCTGTCTATAAAATGTGCATTTCATCCTATATAAATAGCACTCATGCAACATAAACTAGCAGAACTCCCCTCAGAATAATACTTCTTGTTTCCGGTTGTGACACATGATTTATACCGTGGTTGCCACAGTTACCTCCCTTTTGTAATCTTTCTTTAGAAGTATGGGAGGTAACAAAGCTTGGGTGTATCATTAACATTTATCCGTGTAATTATACTCTATTGCAGCCAGGTAGAGTGTTGTGACAGTCTCAGTGTGTGAAAGTAGATGTTCCCATGCTGCCCCTGAGATGACTAACAACCAAAACCAGTTAAAAAGAGAAACAGAAAGATGTGTCCGTACGGTGCCAGTGTTTTATTTCTGGTGACCCAGCCTCTCTGGTCTTTATACCCATTGTTTGGCTGCAGTACCTGCACCACACCTGGGACTTTCCAGCTTCATATCGCACGGCTCCTGTAAAGTAACGGGGGAAGAGGAGAGGCTGTAGACGCTGACGGGAGACAGTCACTTTGTTTTGATATCTGGGCGAGACAGTTGAATGAGTGGAGAAGATCTGTTTGAGGGAAAACTGTTTCTGCTTTGACCACTGCATGAATAACCGACTGTGTCATCCAAGCTGCTGGTCTTGAATGAAGCACTTCATTGGGCGTTACAAACAGAAGCTCCATGTGAATCAGGAGCTTGGCAGGCCTGACAGACGCAGTCAGTCAGTCATAGCAGGCTGACTGGTTATGGGACTTCTGCAGTGTCACAGAGATGGTTGACTGTTTGACAGGGTGATAAGACCTGCGCGGCACAGTACATGTTTAGGCAAGCCTGAAAACAGTGTGTGTGTGCTCGCTTCTATCCCACACAGTCACAATCAGTTTCTCTTTCTCTCCCTCTCACTCACACAAGCACAGTCTCAAAGGAATCCTCCTGCTCCGTTAGCCATGTGCTTTCATGTATAATGTAAAAATACAATGATCAGCATTTTAAATATGTGCTCAGGCGAGGTTGTTGTGGGACAGGAGGACCACCTTTTAAAGCTTTGACTCAGCCACACACACAATTGGTCTTAGTTTTTTTGAATCACAGCCTCGCACATTGCATCGGACAGACTGTCTGTGATTTACAGTTTGCAGAAGAGGAGAGCGGCCTTTTATCAGCCGACCTGCTGCTCTCTGTGCAGGGAGCTGCTGCAGCCACAGCTTTCTTTTTAAGACTGCACTGAAGCACCAATTGTGGGTTTTGATCCTAAAAGAGACTGGATTAACCGCAGGGAGGCAAATGACAACACCGCAGTCAGGAAAGGCATTACTTTAAAAGCCCAACGCCCTGCATCGTGCATGGGCGTGAGTGTGCGTGTGTGTACACAGATCCATATATAGGTCATCCTGAACTGTGCTTGGAAAGCAGCGTTGTGATCCCTGCTCTGTGTGTGTCCCTTGGATTTAGGTGTGTGGCTCTATGGAAAGCAGGATCCACCCTGCAGTTGTGTCCATATTTATGCTCATGCATCAGTTGACAGTGCATAAACAAGATTTTAGCCCTGTGCTTGTATTTTTAGAGCAGTGACCTCGGACAAAGGCTTGCCTGTCACCCACGTGAGTGTGTTGTGTACATCTGTCTTGCTGTCAGATTGATCCTGCCCGGTTTGCTGCTGCGTCCTCAGGCACAAAAACACGAGGATGGGGGTGGGAGATAGTATCCAGAGACCAAGAAGACAAGAACAAGGAGGGTAAATCTGGGATGGAGGATGAGAGAGGGAAAGGGAGGTTGCATGGGATATGGGATGAGTGAGGGAGCAGGAGAGGTCAGGGGCACAGAAGAGGGAAGCAGTCCATTAGTTTGACTCACACATTAAGAGACATTCTGTGCCTTCGGGACACGCTCTTTTCTAGTTCATCCTCAAAAAAAAAAAGTGTGCATGTGTGCCTGTGTTTCTCACAGTAGGGGACGTAACACAGCGCTGTGTATAAAGAAATGGACAGCAAGAAAGATGTTGTTTGCTTTTGTTTTTCCTTGCAGCTCCAAACTGTGCTGCAGTTAATACTTGGTGACAACAGCAAATGCTAATTTCGGTGCATTAGATGGAAACTGCATGGTATCCAGGGTTTGGTTATGATGTCAGGAGCCCTTTTTACACAGATTACGCTATAGAGCTGCTATGAAGTCCCTGTTTTATGCCTTCTTTGCATTTTTACACAGAACCAAACAACAGCGGCACCAGTATGTGATTATAGACTGTGTGCAGGTGTTGTGTCGAAGCCTGTATCATTGTTGATATGTGTTTCCCCTTCACCTAAACCTGACACGAACCCTGACCACCAAGTGCGGTGCTATGCATTTACAGGTGGGGAAACACAACACCGGCATCGTAGATTCCGAAGAGGTGTGATGGGTGTGACGTAACATAATAGTGTCTGGTGGGAGGTATAACATACGCCTCAGTAGTGCTTTATAACAATAACAGTGGCAAAACATGGCAATATCAATAATTTCCCCAGGATTCCCATAGTCTTGGAAACCTGGAAAAGTCATTGAATTTCACAATCACATTTTCCAGGCCTGGAAAAGTCATGGAATTAATCAAAAGCACTGAAAATCCAAGCGGGACCATGGGCAGGTCGGGTGTGATGTTTTGATGATGTGTTATTTGTGCAGCCCACTGCGGGAGATTTAAAAGGTAGCTGTTAGTAGTTAGCGGTAAACTCAAAGAGGAACAACAGTAGCCAAAAATGTCCGCAAATTGGATAAACAATGAGATTCTGGAGCTCCTTACCCTCCGAGCAGACGACAAGATCAGTCACCATATAACTACGACAGTTAATAATTGTTATTGTTTATGAAATGCTGCTTTCAGGTATGTTTTATGTCACACCAGTATTGACACAGACACTGTCACTTCCATCAAGCCTCTTTTGCTTCTAGGATGCGGTCTATAATCACACACTGGAGCAGAGTGATGCTGCCGTTGTTTGGTTGTGTATAAAAATGCAAAGGAGGCATAAAGAAGGGACTTCATAGCAGCCGTGTTGCGCCATCTCTGTGTAAAAAGGGCTACAACGTGTGAAGGTTTGGGGAAAGTCATGGAATTTTGTTGGGTATAATGAAATAGATACTGTCTTATCTCTTGTGGATAACCGTCCACGTAATGTAACATTACACCAGATTAATTTTCTGTAGCTGTTGAAATAACGTAGCTCTAATATTTGTCAGTGTGTGACATTTTGTTTACCATTGTTTACATTCCCACATTTTCCCCTGGGTTTGTCTCCTTCCTGTAAAATTATATTTGATAGAGTTTGAATCTGATATATTTGAAAAATGTTGTGCAAGTGGGGCGAGAAAAGTCATGGAAAAGCTTGGGAAATTTGCCCATGAAATTGTGTGGGGACCCCGTTTACTGTTTCAGTTATGTGGCGGCTGATCTCGTCCTCTGCTTGAAAGGTAAGGAGCTCCTGGGTCTCATTGTTTACCCAATTTGAGGACATTTTTGGCTACTGTTGTTCCTCTTTTAGTTTACCGCTAACTGCTAACAGCTACTTTTTAAACCTCCTGCAGTGGGTTGCATGCATTACATGTTGTCAAAAGGTCATACCCGTGCTGCACATGCTTCCATCCTGCCAGCTATTACTATATCCTGTGGCGGCTTAAAGGTGAGACGCTGTGTCCCCTCTTTCCCAGATTGTACCTTATATACAGGATGGCGAGGCGGCATAGCAGTGCAATATTCCCGCCTTGAACAGGTAGTGTAAAAGGGGCCACTACTGCTACAGTCACAGGCCATTGAGAGTTTATTCAGAGCGTCATCTCCTCTAATGGAGCCAAAAAACTAGAGTGAATATTAGCTGAATGGATCAATGGCCTACCTGTCCTGAATATTTGGACTCACTGTGGATTTAATAGTGGATATTGTACTAAAACATACATGGCTGCAGAGCTGATCTGCTCCTCTGTGAATAAAATGAATTACCCACCATTTGCATACCTCATGGCCTGGGAGGACACTGGGGGGTGCTGAACAAAGCCTGAATGTCATTATAACTTTGGGCCCAAGGAGGTGTGTGTTAACGTGTGTGTATTTAGTGCATGTGTCAGCTCTTGCAACTGTGTGGTCCTGTGTGTCCCTTTCCAGGAGGTGACAGGGAATATAAGCCCGAGGCGTAGCTCTGTCTACTATGTATGTGTCCCATTCACCTCATGGAGTGAAGTGACATCACTCTGTAATCCACAGGGAGTGAAATACTAGTTCACTGTTCCACCGCTGCCTTTTTCAGCTTGCTGTGGAGGAAATTATGGTAATAATGAGGGAGGTTTGTAAGTGTGTGTCTCCCTCGTCCTCTTCCTTTCCCTCAGGA